GGGCGGCCTCGCGTCCCCACACCACGGTGGAGCGCCGGACCCGAGCTCGAGGGCTCTGGCGGCCGCCAGGGTAGCCCTGGGCCCCGCCGCCCGCGCTCCTCAGCAAGTGCACCTGCCCGGGAGGGCCAGACGGAGCTCCGGGTTTATTCCGGGACGTCCCAGCTGAGCGTGCGGAGAGGGGCGCGCTTTCAGTCCTTGTCTCGGGACGGTCTGGGCTCGGGGATGGCGGGTGTTGGTGTGGAGGGCCCGAGGGAGAGCCCCGCGGGGAGGGCACAGCCGGGCTTCGCCAGGGAAGGATGAATGGGAAACTGCGGGGTACCCGGGACTCCCCAGCTCTGCGGGTTCACACAGTCATGTTTAGGCGTTTGCCCCACTGCTCGCGCAGCTCTCGTTTCGGCCCTGAGGAGCAGGTGGGCAAGGACTCCGGCCAGACGTGCTCGGTGCAAGCCCTGTGCGGGCCCACTGCGTGCCTGCGGTCCCCTGGGAGGCTACTAAGGCGCACGGTTTCCTCTGAGGTTTGTGGCCAGAGGCCTGGCACAGCCCAGGTGATGGTCCCCTCGTGGCTAGTGTGGGCTTGACCCTGCTCTTCCGCCCCAGCTGGCTCAAGGACTCCAGGCCACAGGATGAACCCCCCTGACACCCTCTCCTGATGGGGAAGACCGGTCCCCACTGGGGGCTGTGGCATGACTTAACACTCAGAGCTCCTTACATAAGTGGGGAACACAGGTGAATGAGAGGCACTGCCCTCAGAGCGGCCACAGCAGAGGAGACAGCCAGAGCCAGAGCCAGAGCCAGAGCCTGGTCCTGGTCCTGGTCCTGGTCCTGGTCCAGGCCCAGGGCCTGGAATGTGGAGGCTGCATGCCCAGCAGGGGTAGCTTGGGAGGACCTGCAACCAGGAGGCCCCAGTGTGGGGACAGGTTCTGGGGGACAGCTCTGAACTCAGCGGTCAAATCACCTGCCAGTAGCTGAGAGGCTGAGTCCCTGGGACAAACCTGGGGAGAGGCAGGGCGGGCCCTGCAGGGCAGCCTGGGCGGGGACAGCTTGGGCGGGGACAGCCGGGTGCCTCCCCTGGCTTCAGCTGGGCCAGCAAGGTAAGACCATCAGCCTCTCCCAAGTTGCTGGTTCAGCTGCCCGGGGGGAGGGGCCCACCTTAAACACACCCTGGGCAATGGGACTTGAGATCTGGACCTGGGCTGCCAGGGCTGTGCACCTCTTCGTCCTTTGTGGAGAACACAGGGCCTTCAAGATGCCAGGGCCAGCTTCCCCTCTGCAGCTCCTCCTGGATGACGTGGCCTCCTCTTGCCCACTCCCACTCTGCAACCCTCCTCCTCCCAGAGTCCTACAGTCAGAAATGAGCCAAAGGGCCCACACCAGATCTGCCGACGATGTAGGTGGCAAGAGAGGTGCCAGCCTTGCAGGGTACACCGTGGGGTACTCCATCAGGTTCCCTTCTGTGTTTGCAGGCTGGAGACACACGCCTGGAGCGGGGGCCAGGGCTTTGTCCCCACCCTGAGGCCCTCCAGCTGGCAGTCTTGGAGTGGTCAGGCCTCCTGTGACCTCAGCACTATGGCCTGGTCCTCATCCAGGATGAACGGGGACCAGAGCTCACGGCCTCGAAGATAGGCCTCCAAACCCTGGAAATCACAGGACACCATGGCTGAGTACCCACCCCTCCGCGGCCCACTGCACCCTTGGAGCAGGATCCCAGCTGTGCCTGGAGTACAGTGGAGGGCAGATGTCCCTCTCCCAGCGAGGCTCCCACAAAACTTGCCTGGCCTGAGCCTGGCCCCAGGCTTGGGTGTCCTTCCACCACCCCCCCTCAGGACACCTCACTCTACCTGCATCCCTGAAGGTCCTCTGTAACTCTAAGGGACCATTTACCCCACTGGTAAACTGAGGCAGCATCCCCCAGCACCCATCTCTCTCCAGTCTTCCTCTGGTTCATGGAAGCCAAACCCCAGGGAAACGCCAGACAGGGACAGGTGACTCTCACCTCTCCAGAGTAAGAAACTAAGGGCGATATCTCGCAAATGGCCGGAGGGTCTCCATTTTGGGGCAAGCTGTGGAGGACATGCTGGTCAGCATCTGGCTCTTGGGATCCCCAAGCCACCCAGTACCCTGCGCAGGGCCATTGTCACACACCAGCCCCTGCAGCCCCTTGTCCGTAGCTCCTCCCATGGGCCATGTTCTGCCCGCAACAGGCTCTGGTCTGTGCTAGAAATCACACCTGGGCACCCAGTGCAAAGCCTTGGCAGCCAGGCCCCGCCCCAGACAACACAAGACAGCAGCCCCCGCCCCAGGCCAGGCCACCCGGCCACTTGCTGAGGGTCACAGCCGGGCTTGGTTCCAAAGCTTATGACTAAGTTGGGGGCTGTGGAGCCCCCGCCTGCCCAGGCCCCGAGCAGAACTTGGGGGATCAGGCTGAAAGGCTGAGCCGAGCCGCTGCAGCTGGGCAGGCTGGGCACATGGCCGCCTGCGTCTGGTGTGGTGCACAGTATAGCAGAGCAGGGAGGCCCTGGGGGCCAGGGCCGGTCCCTTACCACCCGCCCGCAGGACTGGGACACACCCAGGGCACTCACCCAGGCTGCTCAGGAAGCTGGGCCCCCCGTGCATCCAGGAAGCGGGCCCCAGCCTGCAGTGCCCACTGGTGGTGCTGTGTGAGCAGGGCCCGCCTGGCGGTGGAGGGGTTGTCCCTGGCTGCTGAGTCGGCATTCTTCAGGGGGGAAAACTCCTCCTCCCTGGAGACTTCGAAGGCAACGAAGTTCCTGGCAGGAGGCAGGGCCGGTCATCACATGTCCCCGGGGTAGTGGCCTAGTATGCGCCGCCAGGTTCACAGGTCCAGGAGGGGCCCACAGGCACCGAGCAGGTCTGGTAGCCCCAAGCTCTCCCACTCCCACCAGCCATGAGCCGGGCCAAGGGGGAGCCCCAGGTGGGGAGAACACCCAGCCCTGGGTGAAGGGCTAAGGAGGGGCCCCAGAGTCCTCCGGGGCGTCAGCTGCCCATTTGTTCCCCATGTCCCCACCCTCAGAGTCCACCTCCACTGGGAGCAAGAGCACCCTCCCGGACCACCACTGCCCTCCCCGGCTGGGGCTCAGACCCCACCACCAGAAGACAGAAGGAAGAAGGGAAAAAAATAAGTGACTTCTACCACTAACTTAGCAAACTGGAACACATCAAACACAAACTTCTCCATCTTTATCCCGTTCGGTTTTAGCGGCTTTACCAGATTTCCCTCCTCGTCCACGTACGGGACCTTCTTCACAGCCACGTGTGGTTTCAGCAAAGGCTCAAACTCCCTGGAGCAGGGGGAAGAAGGTTCAGACTGGCACAGGTGGCCAAACGGGCCAGGCTGGCAGGCGGGCACCACAGGACACAGGGCTCCTCCCTGCATCCCCAGCACTGAGAGCCAGGTGCCATCAGCCAAATCCCTGCCGTGCTGTGGAAACTGGCAAACCCCAGGGGAGGGGCGGGGCTGGTGGGCACAGGGTCAGTTCACAGAAGGCAGAGGCCACCACAGAGCGTGACCACATCGGATCTTGTCTCCCACAACCTTCTCCTAACCCACTGGCCACTCTCCAGCTCAGCCCCACCTGGGCCCATGAGAGCTCTCAGCGCGTGGGGCACCGCCAGTCCTAGGTCAGTGCGCGGCCCTGGCTGGCACCGCAAAGCCCTCTGCTGTCGCACCTGGTGACCCTCTGCAGGAAGCCTCGCGTGAAGAAGTGGTTGCACATGTTGCCCGCACTGTAGAGCAGACCCCCGTCGGCCCCACGCAGCCCTGCGATCTCAGGGCTGATCTCGCTGTACTCCACCACTTGGGGGACGCCGTCCACCAGGCACACCACGCCCACAGGCTCCTCGGCGTAGGCCTTTTCCACCACCTGTGCCCACAGGGAGGGTCAGGGTCAGGTTGGGCTTGGCAGTGCTGGGCAGGGAGGGGGCCTAGTGGGGGAGGGGCCAGGCACGGCGGAGGGGCGGGACTCTGTGTGGACATGACGTACAGGAAAGAGAACCTCTGCTCCCCCCCCCGCCCCCAACGCGAGGAGGGCGAGACCCACAGGAGGCGGGACTGGCCCTGCTGATGGACGGGGTTCCGCGTGGGCGTGTCCATAAGGACAAGGCACGGTAGCTTCTGAATGCTCCCCGCTGAGGGGCGGGGTCTTGTGGGCGGGGTTTCCTCGGAGGCGGGGCGGAGCTCCGCGCTCACCTTGGCGCCACAGTCCGCGCCCCGCAGCACGCAGAAGCCGATGAACATTGGATCAGCCAGCCGCACTAGGATGTTGTCCACACAGTACACGTGCACGAACTCCACTCCACGGCGCTCCATGTCTTCGAGGACCTGGTGGTCCGCCAGCGCGCGGTACAGGCCCCCGTTGCCATCTGCAGAGCGACAGAGGAATGGGCCTCGCCGCAGGCTGCAGCCAGGAAACGCCCGCTCCGACCTTCACTGTCCAAACAGCTCCATGGACGTACCACAGAGAGGGCTTGTGACCAGCCCACGTCCAGCCTGGGAGTCAGGGCTCTGCGCCCTCTGAATTCCTGGCTGGGTGCTGTCTCAGGGTGGCCTACCTGGGGCCATGGCAACCTTGTCTTTCCGCTCCAGGATGGCCTTGCCGTCGAAGGTCACGGCGGGCAGCATGCGTTGCTCGAACAGGACCACATTGGCAGGGTCCAGGTGGAAGAAGTCATGCTCCTTGAAGAATCTGGCCGTGGGCCCCAGCGTAAACTCGCTGGTCATGATGTACCTGGCCGGGATGGAGGGACACGGGTGAGCCTCCTGCAGGGGCCTGGTCTGGGTCGGTGCTGAGTAGGGCCGGGTGGGGCAGAAGGACGCACCAGGGAACGGTGCAGTGGGTCCCGTGGCGCTCGCCAGCCAGCTGCTCGACTCGTCGGATCCGCTCGGCCTGCAGCTGGTACAGGGTCTTCCCACTGGGCAGCCCCACCTGGTACATGCCCTTCGGGTAGGTGACCCCCAGGCGCGTGCCCTGCCCGCCAGCCAGCAGCAGCACGGCCACCTTGCTCAGGGCGATCTGGCGGAAACCTGGAGGGGGGCACCGTGAAGGGATGCCTGGGTGCAGGCAGAACAGCTCCGCCCGGGGCTCGTGTGGGCGGGGTGCAGCAGACGGGAAACCCCGGGCCCCCCACACACACCCAGGACCCCGCGCCACCCACCTTCCTCCTCCCAGCGCCGCCGCGCCTCCGGGTCGCCGCAGCTCGCGCTGCCCATGCTCTCGGGGGACAGGGGCCGCAGGCGCTCGGCCAGGCCGGGCGTGGGGCCGGGGGCGCGCGCGCAGGCCTCTGCCGCCGAGGCGCAGTGCTCGCGTAGTGCATCGGGGTCCAGAGGCGCCAGCTCGGTCAGCAGCGCAGCGCGCGGCTCCGGGCCCAGCTCGGCCCAGAAGCGCAGCAGGTGGCCCTGACCCGCGCGCTGCAGCCCGGCCCGCACGTCGGCCTCGGAGGCCATGTCGCCGTCGCCACCCGCTGAGCTGGCACTCGTGACCCGCGCGCTCCGTCTGACCGGCGTCACGGCATCCGGAGGGTTGGTCTAGCTCGCCCCGCCTCTACCGGGCCAGTCCAGTCTGGCCCCGCCTCGTCCGATCCCTCCTTGCCCCTCGCCCTGTCCCTGTCTGGCTTTGGGCCATGTCTCCCGCGCAGGTCAGCCCCCAGGACAGCCCCGTCCGGTCCCAGGCCGCCCTGCCCCTGGTCCACCCCTGGCTGCGTCCCCAGCGTCCCAGCACTCTGCCCTGGGGAGCTGAAGCTCCTCGGGTTTGCACAGCGGGATTACACCACTGCACAGGCGGAGGGGGACCCTGGAGGTGCAGGAGCCAGGCACCCCGCTGGGGTTCTGAACGCGGTCTGGACCTGCCTGAGATCTGACCAGCCTTCTGCCCATCTTCTGGTCCTTCCACAGACAGGAGGGTCCGTCCTTGTCAGGGTTTGGGCCTGAGAAGGGCCTACGCCTGCTTCCATTCACCCACACCGAAGCCCACTGCACCCAGGCTGTCTGGGGGCAGAGGGGGGCCAGATCCAGGTCTGGCTATGGCTGGAGGAGGTGGATACTTTAACTACATATCAAATTTCAAGATACATTGATTTCTATGAAGTCACCTGTGAAAAATATGAAGCAATAGCTTTGGCTCTTTGGGGACAAACTTTCTTACAGAAACTGGCTTTGGAGCTGGGCGTGGTGGTGCACGCCTGTAATCCCAGCACTCGGGAGGCTGAGACAGGAGGATCATTGTGAGTTTGAGACCAGCCTGGGCTACAAAGTGAGCTCAAGACCAGTTTGAACTGCATAGTGAGACCCTGTCTCAAAAAAAATAAAAAATAATAATAATAGAAACTGGCTTTGTTAAGTCTGAAAATAATGCATGCAAATGGTTTTTAAAAGTCCACATGGTAATCTGGGTGTGGTGGCACACACTTGTCATCCCAGCACTAGGGAGACTGAGACAGGAGGATTGCTGTGAGTTCGAGGCCCGCCTGGGCTACAAAATGAGGTCAAGTCCAGCCTGAACTGCATAGTGAGACCCTGTCTCAAAAAGACGAAAAACAAACAAACAAAAAAACAAAACAAAACAAAAAAAACACATGGTTCTGGGAATGGTGGCACACGCCTGTAATCCCAGCACTTTCGAGGCTGAGGCAGGAAGATCACTGCCAGTTGGAGGCCAGCCTAGGCTACACAGTGAGTCCAGGCCAGCCTAAACCACAGAGTAAGACCCTGTCTCAAAAATAAAATAATATAAATCCATATGGTGCTGCCAGGCAGGGTGGCACACACCTGCAATCCTAGCATTTGGGAGGCTGATGCAGGAGGAACACCAGGAGTTTGAAACCAGGCTGGGCTACATGGTGAGTTCAAGGCCATCCTACAGGACATAATGAGACCTTCTCTCAAAAGAACAAAGAAAAGAAGCAAATCCACATGGTGTTTTAGGACCCGGAATGAGAAGTTAACATCTCCTACAGTTCTGCCTGGTAATCCCTGTTAAGAGAGTGCCTCCTTGCTGGCAGGTCCTGGGCATACATCCCCAGGGAGGCCAGCCAAGGCCGCTTCCTCCTCAGAAAGTTCTGTGACCTGCTGCCTTTCTGTATTCCCTGCCACCTAGCCCCCCAAGAAGGCCACAAACTCACAAAGCCGGCTGCTGTTTGGTTCACTGCTCCGCCCCTGCGCCTGAACCCAAGCCTCACATAATCACGACTGGTCACCAAGACCAGTTCAGGGAATATTTGCTGAATGGATGGTGTCTCTCCTGCTCCAACAATTGGTGCAACAGAGGATGGCACCCTGAGGGGTGGAGGGCAGGGAACCCTGAAAGCAGAGTGGGCTCCACGCCCTGGGCAGAGTCAACAGCAGCCCTAACCACCCTGTGGGGCTGGGCAGCTGAGATGGCAGGTGAATTCCAAGTCCTGCCTCAGGGTAAGGTGGGCCCAGGGTCAGCAGGTTTGGAAAAGGTTTGTGCAGCCAGAGGCACCTGCAGGACCTGCATGAACCTGTCTGGGCGGGAGGGGTACAGATGGGCGGGGGCATGGCTGACAACTCCAGGAACACCTGCTAATCAGCCACCTGCCCTTTGCCTTAGGGGGCCAGGGGAGCAGGGTGCAGGGCCCAGCAGTGGAGACCAGAGAGTTCAGAAACATCAGAGACTGGGCAGCAGTCGGTCCCTCTCTCCATGCCCAGGGCAGGGGCGACTTCATAGGCAGAGGGGCATAGGCCTTGCTCATCTCTTCCCAAGGACCTCTGGGCTGGCACAGCAGGAGCGTAATAAAACCAGATAGGTACCTTGAGAGCCCAGAGGCTGCCTGGGCCCCCTGGGTTAGGTCTGAGCTCTGGAAGCCCCCAGGGGACTGAAAGCTTCAGGGTCAGGAATGTCAGGCCAGGCTGGGAAGCAGAAACAACGGGGAAGTGGTCAGGGTCAGGCTGGGAAGGGCATCTGGCCATGCCTTCATCCCACCCTGAAGCCAGGCACTGACTCGGACTCCTCCACACCCTCCAGGGCCCAGCCGCACAAGCTCACAGGCCAGGCCAGCTCCTGCTGTCTGCACAGCGTGCTTGGGCTCACCAGGAGCTCTGGCTGCCCAGCACGGAGGGCCATGCCCTTCCCCACTGGCGGCCTCCACACTCCTGCTGGCCTCCATGCCAGCCCACAGTGCTGCCTGAGCCTCCCCATCCCACAGGCCGTGCTGTGCCCTGGTGCCCCACCCAAGGAGAGCACTACCACTGCGATCTCTCCTGGATAAGGTCTCCTGTGTGCTTGCAGACATCCACTGAGTCCCCACAGTGGGCCATGCCCAGCCCAGGCCTTGGCGTGGCCCTCCCTGCTCCAGAACAGCACAAGGAGTCATAGGGAAATAGCCACCTTAGCCTGGCATCTAATGTCAGGCATCTGACCACACTTTGGGGGTGAGGTGGGGGACTTCGGCAGTTAAAGGACGCATAGAGATGAGCCAGGAGTAGAGACGAGTGTGCCTTTCTGGCAAGAGAGGCACCAGGTGCCAGGGCCCAGAGGTAAGGGAAGGCGAGTGCCCAAGGCCCGGGGCAGGGGAGGGCGTGAGAGTGCAGAGGGCCTTCGGCTGGTCTATCTGTGGGGGGCCGGGGATGGGCTCCCATGGCTGAGCTCCACAGGGTGACGGGGCACGGCGCTTAGCTTTTTAGCCCTCCACCTGCCCTGCCAACGTTACCGTACACACACCAACTCTGAACGAGTAACCAAGAGCAGGAGGGGGCACAGTAGTGCTGGCCAGGGCAGCTGTCCCGGAAGCCTGAGCTACATGCCTGGGTGCTCAGAGCTGAGGACACAGAGGCCATGAGGCAGCTGCTGAGCCTCCCCAGAGGGACTGGAGGGGTGCCAGAGAGGGGCTAGAGGCTAGACAGTGTCCTGAGAAGGCAGAAGCTGCAGACGACCTGTGGGCACTGCTGTGGTGTTCAGTGGTGGTGGGGGTGGACCCAGGGCAGAGCTGAGAGGACAGGCAGAAGCAGAGAAATGCCCTGACCCCAACCTGGCTTCTGGGGGCTCCTGGAGCCAGGACGCAGGCTAGGGCCTGGGCCCACATCTGGGCTCCCCAGGAGGTGGACAGCAGATCCAGCTGGAAACGCAGCAGAGGCCCCAGGCCCCAGGGGTGCGGGCTGTGAGAGCCAGGACAGCTGGAGGAGATGTCCACGCAGGGAGGGGCTGGGAGCTACGGGAGTCGGTCACCGGATGGGCATCTGGGGACACAGGAGAAAGTGGCTTTGTCCTGCAGCCGCAGGCCAGGCCAGGCCAGACGGTCCCGCGGGGCTGCAGTGAGGACAGAGAGGCCTCTGTGAGGGGCGCCCAGCTGGCTGGAGCCTGGGATCCTCTAGGGGCTGGCTTGGTGCAGGAGGGGGCCCCCTCAGCTGGTGCCTGCAGCCGGGAGACCCTCAGGGAGGAGACCCCAGGGAGCTGGGAGGAAAAGGTGGGGCGCAGGACGGACCGTATCCTCCCACCGCTACCCAAGAGGCCACCTGGGTTCAGCTTCCCTGCAGGGCGCCAGGCCCCACCTCTGGGAGAAGAGGCGGGGGGCGGGGCGGGAGGAAGGGCTGGTGGGCGTGGAGGCGGGAGCAGGGGCCGCGAGGAGGCTGGGGCGGGGCCTCGCGGTGGGCGTGACCAAGACGCTGGTAGGCCCCGCCCCAGCCAGGCTGCCGGGGAGGCGCAGCGCAGGGCCCTGGGCCGGAAAAATCAAACCGGGACCGGCGGCCGCCCAGCCAATCCGGGAGCAGAGGGGCTCGCTTCGGCCAATGGCCGCCGCGTATGCTAATATGGACCGCAGCCGCGAGGAGGGCTCCATTCAAAAGTAGCAGCTATTGTCAGCCGGCTGCTCGCCGGGCAGGTCCCGCCGTCGGGCCGCGCGGGGACAGATCCCGTCGCCCATGGCTGGGGCCGCGACGGCCGAGCGGGGCCGCGGG